TGTAGTGGAGAACAGTTCCTGGCTGCCTGCCTCACTGGGCGACCCTGCTGGGAGCTGCACATCCTCATCTAACTCCACCTCCTCATCAATAACTTCTTCCTCTGGGTTAGGTCCTCTTTCCGCCATTTTTGTGTCCTCCAAAGTATCCACGGGGCTCTTGGTGATGGAGGTGGGGTCACCACCGAGGATAGCATCCAGCTCCTTATAGAACCTGCAGGTCTTAGGTGAAGCAGCGGAGCGACGGGTTGCCTCCCTCACCTTATGGTACGCTTGCATCAGCTGCTTAATCTTCGCTCTGCACTGCAGCATGTCCTGATCATAGCCCTTTTCACATAAGCCTCGATAAATCTGCCCGTAGATATCCCAATTCCTACGGCTCAAGCGCAGATGGGACTGTACAGCCTCCTCTCCCCATATCCTGAGCAGATCCAACAGCTCTGCTGTGGTCCAAGCAGGAGAGCGTTTGCTGCTATAACCTGCCATGGTCACCTGGGAAGATGCAATGAGGCCTCTCCATGCTGAGCCAACAGGAAATGAAATTTCAAAAATTCCCGGGGCTTCTATGAGGGAGGGACGGATGATTGTTTACCTGGCTGCAGGGCAGTGGAGTTCAAACTGCTGATCAGAGCAGTCAGGATGGGCATTGTGGGACACCTCCTGGAGGCCAATTAAGCAATGAAATGAAGTGTGGTGTCTACACTTGCACTTTGTCGAAAAAAATGTAGAGGAAAAAGACATAAATCTCTTGTGAGGGTGGATGTATTTTTTTTTTGCCAAAACCAGACATTGTCCTCGACAAAAGTTGCCCCCCAGTGTGTACGCATTCACTGTTTGGGTTGACGAATGGCAGTTTTGGTGACACAACTTGGTAGTGTAGACAAGGCCTTCATGTAATGTTCCTTAAATTGAGCCACATTTGAGAGGTACCTTAGTGTTACTCAAGCTGTATTCTCTCTCAGATGGATGCCTAAGAATCCCCATGCTACCTCTTCAGAGTTCAGTTTGATGCAGCCTAGTCCAGCCCTCGTAGCTCCCTGTCTTCATTTTATGAGGGGGGATAAGCATCTCTACAGTCAACTTAAAGGGCTTGTTTAGTGCAACAAGGCTCCCTGTCCCAATTAGCAGAATCAGCTAGGAGCCTCAACTGCCTTCTCAAAGCCTCAGACCAGGGCCGGCTCTAGGTTTTTTGCCACCCCAAGCGCGCGCGCACACAAAAAAAGGGCCAGAGTGCCACCCCTTGAAAAGTTCCGCCTCAAGCACATGCTTGGTTTGCTAGTGCCTAGAGCCGACCCTGCCTCAGACAAACTGGAAGAAGGCAGCATTCCTTATTCCATCCACTTTTCAGTACTTCTGCTCCCAGGGACTCTGTAAAGCCTGACAGGAATCCAGATGAGGATTCACTACAGATCTTTTAAGTTTCCTAGGGCAGCCAGTCGGTACCTTTTGAAAGCATGATGTGTGTTTATTTTGACCTAGAAAAATCAAGACTAGTGTTTCTGATACAGGACAGTTTACCTGTTGTGTCTCAAAGGACTTGCACACAGCCCTCCACAGAAGGGAATGCCCTTCTTGGGGGAGAAAAAAGTATTCCGCATTGTCTGGCATGTGTGACACCCAGGAAAGGGTTACACTGCTGGAAACCGTGTCTGGCCATCAGGGTAGTTGAGTTGTTCTCCTGATGTAATGTTTCTAACTGATTATTCTGCCTAGGGAGCTACAATAGGCAGAGTTTCCAGGGATTCAGATACTATTGGAATTCTCCCTCTTCATTTTCCTTGTACAGCTTTAATTAAGTTCAGTTGGTCTAATCTCATTTTCTCTATTACCTCTGGACTGGTAAGTATTACTACTCCAGCCACAATACATTGCAAAGCAGGCAGCTCAGACCTAAGGAAAAGGCTGTACCACTGTTCGGATTTCCCAAAGTTCCCTTTGCTAGCTTGTTGAGATTCCTATTCCACTGTGGAATAGTAACAAGATGGCTTTGGTGGTTGTGAAGACCCAGACTGGCGTGTCTCTGACAGAAGGGGAACTACTCAGGCCTGGTCTACACTTAAAAGCTAGGTTGACATAGCTACAGCACTCAGGGTGTGAAAATGTCACATCCCTGAGCAGTGTAGTTATACCTGCCTAGCCCCTGATGTAGACAAGGCTAGGTTGATGGAAGGATTCTTCCGCTGCCCTAGCGACCATCACTCGACAAGGTGGATTACCTACGGCTATGGAAAACCCCTTGGTAACAGGGTGTGCTGAGTCAGGAGCTAACTTAGCACCCTGTCACTCCACTCCCCACCAGTACTGTATATATTAATGGGGACCTTACTGGAAGGCGGGTAGTTGACTGAGGGTGCCACTTCACTGAGGAGAACTACAGCTGAGGGTCTGATTGAGGGGGAAGCAACCCCAGCTCCTGGGATAAGATAAGCAGACAGGAAGGCAGTGCTGGGGAAGAGGACAGAGCTGAAGGAGGCAGAGATAGGCAAGACTGACTGCTGCTAGTACTGGTCCCTGCCCTAGAAGAAAGTGGGGAAGCTGGCTCTGGACTGTAAATGTATGTAAATAACACTGCAGGCTGTAGCCTGCTGGAAAAACACAGTACAATATGGTGGTGGCAAAGGAGACCTAGAGTGGTTTTGGTTTGTGATTAAAGCCTGAAAGGTCTCTCTCTGGATTGCCCCGTGACACCCTCCTGTCACATCTACACTACAGAGCTGCTGTAGCTGTACCACTGTAGAACTCCTAGTGTAGACGTGATCTTAGGCTTCATCATTGCCCTCAAGCTCCATAAATTGCCCTACTTGGTGAGTGATGGCCTGATGACCACGTGTCCTTAAGTACGTTTTACAGTTCCTCCTGGCTTGATTGATTTGCCCTGTGAAAAAGCTAATAAAAGCAAAAGCCCTCAGCATCATTTCCACTCAGGGAACGGCAGGAGCAATTGCCACAGTTTTCTTTGAGCTGCTCAGTGAAAGGAATCAAACAAAACAGCTGCTCCAACCACTCCTTCCTTCTGCTTCTCTTTTTCTAGCACTAATTCTCCAAAAGCTCCACTACTGTGTTAATTGTTCTAATGGTATTTTTGTGATTCCTTCTTAGCTTTGATCCAGCACCTTTCCCCAGAATTAAATGCACACTTAAAAAAAAGGCCCCTTATTTTATATATTCATTTTCCAAGGAGGCAGTATGTTACCAGAGCTACTGGGGCTGGAAAAGGGATTGAGGGGCATGCAACCAAAAATGGAGGCAAGGGTACTAGGTTTGGAGGTACTGGTCAGGGTTCAAGGAGATAGATGGGTAAAATATTTGCTTTTCAAAGGTGAGCGTTGGGCTAAATTTATATAATATAATTTAAAAAATGAATTTTCTTAAGATCCTGGATGGAACTAAAGTGACCTGCTGACAAAATCTTATTCAGTGGTTCTCAAACCGTGACTTGTGGATCAGTCTGGACTATAGATCCTTTCCTGTTAACTATTCTTAAATCCATGATGTAGGGATATGGTCCATGAGAAGATCTGGCAGTGGTGTTTAGAAATTTGGGGGGAGTGGTGACTCCATGAGGAAGTCACTGATGTAGGAATTTGTCCCCAAAATGAAAATGTAGAACATTACTGATTCCTACATAATTTGGGTGTTTACAAGTAATTTTGGAAGCAAAAGAACTACTCAAGGGACATGTATTCACTTCTCGGATGCTTAGTACCAGTGCCCTGGGTTCCACACACTTATCTCTAAACTTTAAAGTACTTCCACATGCTACTGTTATTCAGTAAAAATGTATTTGGACTCATGTCCTAGGGGAGAAAGGGTCTGTGTCACAAAAACAATCCCCTGAGCCATCCCATGCCATCATGCCAGATTTTGCGTGGTTATTAGCAAAGCAAAACAAAACATGGCAGTACACATGAGAGCATACACAAAACAATGCCATGCATGTGGTATGTGTAGGACCCACAAGACACTGGGATTTGTTCTTGGTGGTTTTTTTACTATTTCAGTAGTTTATTTTAAGGAAGAATGGAGGAGCTAAGAGTTACAATAAGAAAAGGACTTCAAGGTGCTATGGCATATATCTACTTTGTAAATTAATCAACCTGACTGCATCAATGTTACAGAAAGTGGGGAGCAGACAGAATAGTTCCTCACAATCATCCATTCACCTGGTTACGGCCAACTGTCAGCTTAATGAAGCTCAGGGCAATGTCAGTCCAAATCTTTTGGCATTACAGAGTGAAAATGGTATCAACTGTGTTCTGAGAGCTACCCGCAGGACTGGCTTTCTGATCTATGAGCCCCGAATAAGGAGAGAGCGGACAGAGGGGATAGAGCAGACAGGAGTAGTTTTCCCCACCTTCCCCAAACCTGCTGATTGAGGGACAGGTTGGGCTGGCCAGTCACTTGGGAGTTTGCCTTTGGCACCCAAAGAAGAAGCTTACATTGTTTGAGTTTATGGCTGGCTGTGACCTCAAAAGATAGCCCCTGTAATCAAACAGGTTTCAGAGTAACAGCCGTGTTAGTCTGTATTCGCAAAAAGAAAAGGAGTACTTGTGGCACCTTAGAGACTAACCAATTTATTTGAGCATGAGCTTTCGTGAGCTACAGCTCACTTCATTGGATGCATACCGTGGAAACTGCAGCAGACTTTATATACACACAGAGAATATGAAACAATACCTCCTCCACCAGCAGGACAGTGGGGTGGGAGGAGGTATTGTTTCATATTCTCTGTGTGTATATAAAGTCTGCTGCAGTTTCCACGGTATGCATCCGATGAAGTGAGCTGTAGGTCACGAAAGCTCATGCTCAAATAAATTGGTTAGTCTCTAAGGTGCCACAAGTACTCCTTTTCTTTTTGTAATCAAACAGGAATCTTCTGAGCACTGAGGAATCCAGACCATTGACTGACTGGGGGGGAGGAGGAGGAGGTGGTGGTTATAGCAGTCTCCTGATACACATGCCTTGGTGCTGGTAACAATGTTCCTTTTCTGTTTGCTCTGCAGATCCTGTGTGGGAAGGAGATCCCCCGTTGGGTGAATCGCCTAGCCTACTTCAGCTCGTGCATCCCTTTCCTCCAAAGTTGCCTCCCCAGGGAGTGGCTGACCCCAGCAGCCCTGCAGACCCACATCAACCTCGGCCTCCACAAGGAAGAGCAGGGAGACACGACAGATGAGGAGTCCCCATCCACTTCTGCCGCTCCCTCAGCCTCAGGCACCTCGCGAACCTGTAGGCATACCCGGGTCTAAGCTGTGCCCAACATGCTCCCTTCTCTCGCTCTCTGGGTTTCTTCTATTTCTTTCTCATTTCGTCTCTTACAGCAGCTTTCTTTCTCCCTCTTTTCTTCGCCCACGAACATTGAGGGAAACCCCCTTTAATGAGAAGACGAGCTCTTGATCCTTCTCGAAGGGTTGTCACTACTGTTGCTTGGCAAAATGATGCTGAACTATAGCATTGTGCTGACAAGTGTGGTGGCTAACCTGGATTCTCCTCTCAAGGCCCTCTGTGCTCCTTGATTCACAGAGAACTGTTGACTTTCTGGGCACGAGAGCATGGGACTAGAGGGGAACCATACCGGGAAGTTCCTTGGCTGGAACTGTTTTTATTCTTTTATCTCCCCCTCTCTCTACTCTCCAGTTCTGTCAAGGCTGCCCCCCACCTACAGCATACCTCCTGGACATTCCAAATGAAGGAAGCAGAACCTCAGTTTGACTTTCTCATCTCTAAGACCAGCAACAAGCTCCTACCTATCCTCTTTTTTGTAATTACCAGGTTTCTAAATCATTCGAAGGACAAGTGAAAGGTATTGCTGTTGTTTGAGCACCAGTTTTCTGTGTTAGAATTTAAGAGATTAGAGGACTGCCCCCCCCCCACAACAATACCACAATTACCTAGAAAACAAATGTATAATGGTGGTTTTTATTTGGTTACAACAGGGGGCGGGGGTTACTGCTTGGGGGTAACTACTAAGTAGATGCAAAGGTGGCCTTTGATGGATTGGTTCTCTTAGTTTCCCAACCCAAGTCACCAGTTTCACATCCCTGGTTTACTATTTCCCTTCCTTTTCAGTGGGGTGTTAAATCTGTCTTCTGGCTGGCTAGCCTGCTGCCTCTGGCAACCTGTGTTTTGTGGAGGGACTTCTGGAGTGAGAGGATGGTGAGAGGGAATCCCTTGGGCAGACTGCTATTTCCTGCAGTCTTTCTTCACAGAACCAAACATATGGGTCCCTTGGCAGCCATCTACCCAGTCTACATTTAAAGCCAAGCCAGGAAGGCGAAAACTATCTAGACAGAGAATAAACCAGAAGAATTGACATTTGTTCCCCTGCCTCAGAGGCTGTTTTGGGATGGAGAGGGCAGCTTGGAATCCTGTCAGGAAGCAGAGGTTGCTGCCCCCTGTACATCCCCATGGCATCTTTTGTTACATAACACTCTCTTTATTTCAGTCATTTGCAATAGAACAGGGGCAAGGCTGGTTGACCAACCACCCCAGCATTGGTTCATAGATGTATTATGCCCATGATGATGGTTTCTATGCTGGGGGGCAGGTGGAGAAGGGAGCAGGTATGCCAATTCCATTATTCAGTCACCTAGCCAGGAATTATGTTCAGTGACTACACCAGCATGGGAAGGGAAAATCTAGGTCCCTCTTCCCCCACCATGCAGCTATGCAGAAGAGGAAGACAAAAGAGCCTGAGGATGCATGTGTAATGTATTGATTTAGGGCCTGATTCTTGGAAGCGCTGCGCTCCAGCTGAAGGCAGGAGGAGCTATCGGTGCTCAGTGCCTCTGAAAATCAGGCTCTTAGAGTGAATAATCCTGTCTCCAGCAACAGTGAGAATAACAGACTGCTAATTACAAGCAGCTAAGCAAGCTACTCCATTAGCTCAAGTTTACAGAAATTGTGGGCCTGGTATTGAAAGTCCTGGGTTTGATCCCCACTGATATGCCTGGTGTCTGTACATACGTGGTCTCAGTTTGTTACGTGTGTGTGTATCCAGCACTCTATTATCCTGGGTTCCCGGTATAGTTGCATAGAGCCAGCATCACATTCTCTATTACCCTGGTTTGTTCCGCGGTGATTTACTACGATCAGCATCATATTCTCCATTATTCTGAAGTTGCCAGAGCTGCTGCCCAGACACAACATTACACAATACAGTACTGCGCACTCAGTTGTCCTGCAGTGACTCGTGTCACTGCCTAAACCAGTCATGCAATCTCCATTTTTCTGAAGTTCCCAGGATCTCTGCCAAAAAACAGCATTATGACCGCAGGTATGTGCAGTGACTGGAAGGAACTGAGTGGAGGTCTCCCGGAGCTTTCATTTGGCGAGGGAACATTGCAGTCAGATTAAGAGGTAATGGCAAATAGTCCCTGATTGACTGCCATCCATCCATCACCCCAACCTGCTATCTTGCATCTGATCTCATATGAAGTGTCACATTGGAAGTCCCAGGTGGAATCAGGGCACCAGTGACATACCTTTCCTAAGGGAACTGCTTTGTCTAAGGATATGTTTACACTACGAAATTAGGTTGAATGTATAGAAGTCGGTTTTGTAGAAAGCGGTTTTATACAGTCGATTGTGTGTGTCCCCACACAAATGCTCTAAGTGCATGTAGGCGGCGGAGTGTGTCCACAGTACCGAGGCAACCGTCGACTTCCGGAGCGTTGCACTGTGGGTAGCTATCCCGCAGTCTCCGCCGCCCATTTGAATTCTGGCTAGAAATCCCAGTGCCCGATGGGGCTAAAACATTGTCGCGGGTGATTCTGGGTACATATAGTCAGGCCCCCCTTCCCTCCCTCCTTCCATGAAAGCAAGGGCAGACAATCGTTTTGTGCCTTTTTTCTTGAGTTACCTGTGCAGATGCCATACCACGGCAAGCATGGAGCCCGCTCAGCTAACCATCACCATATGTCTCCTGGGTGCTGGCAGACCTGGTACTGCCTTGCTACACAGCAGCAGTTTGTTGCCTTTTGGCAGCAGACAGTGCAGTATGACTGGTAGCCATCGTCGACGTAGTCCTGGATGCTCTTTTAACCGACCTCGCTGAGGTCAGGGGCGCCTGGGCAAATATGGGAGTGTCTCAGCCGGGTCATTTCCCTTTTAAGTTTCATCTCATGGTGATTGAGTCCTACTGGCAGTGCACTGTCTTTTAATCAGCAGCCAGCAGAAGTTGATGGCCAGTAGTCATACTGCACCATCTTCTGCCGAGCACCCAGGAGATGACAATGGCTAGCGGTCGTACTGCACAGTCTGCTGCCAGCAAGATGTATAAAGATAGATGAAGTGGCTCAAAACAAGAAATAGACCAGATTTGTTTTGTATTCATTTTCTCCTCCCTCCCTCCGTGAAATCAACAGCCTGCTAAACCCAGTTTTGAGTTCTATCCTTGAGGTTTTGAGTTCTATCCTTGAAGGGGCCATTCAGTTTCTCGCAAAGCCACCCCCTTTGTTGATTTAGTTCCCTGTAAGCCAACCCTGTAAGCCATGTCGTCAGTCGCCCCTCCCTCCATCAGGGCAACGGCAGACAATTGTTCCGCGCCTTTTTTCTGTGCAGACGCCATACCACGGCAAGCATGGAAACCGCTCAGATCACTTTGGCAATTAGGAGCACATTAAACACCACACGCATTATCCAGCAATATATGCAGCACCAGAACCTGGCAAAGTGAAACCGGGTGAGTAGGCAACGTCAGCGCGGTGACAAAGAGTGATGAGGACATGGACACAGACTTCTCTCAAAGCACGGGCCCTGGCAATGTGGGCATCAAGGTGCTAATGGGGCAGGTTCATGCGGTGGAACGCCAATTCTGGGCTTGGGAAACGAGCACAGACTGGTGGGACCGCATAGTGTTGCAGGTCTGGGACGATTCCCAGTGGCTGCGAAACTTTTGCTTGCGTAAGGGCACTTTCATGGAACTTTGTGACTTGCTTTCCCCTGCCCTGAGGCGCAAGAATACCAAGATGAGAGCAGCCCTCACAGTTGAGAAGCGAGTGGCAATAACCCTGTGGAAGCTTGCAACGCCAGACAGCTACTGGTCAGTTGGGAATCAATTTGGAGTGGGCAAATCTACTGTGGGGGCTGCTGTGATGCAAGTAGCCAACGCAATCAAAGATCTGCTGATATCAAGGGTAACGACCCTGGGAAATGTGTAGGTCATAGTGGATGGCTTTGCTGCAATGGGATTCCCTAACTGTGGTGGGGCCATAGACGGAACCCATATCCCTATCTTGGCACCGGAGCACCAAGCCGGCGAGTACATAAACCGCAAGGGGTACTTTTCAATAGTGCTGCAAGCACTGGTGGATCACAAGGGACGTTTCACCAACATCAACGTGGGATGGCCGGGAAAGGTATATGACGCTCGCATCTTCAGGAACTCTGGTCTGTTTCAAAAGCTGCAGGAGGGGACTTTATTCCCAGACCAGAAAATAACCATTGGGAATGTTGAAAAGCCTATAGTTATCCTTGGGAACCCAGCCTACCCCTTAATGCCATGGCTCATGAAGCCATACGCAAGCAGCCTGGACAGTAGTCAGGAGCTGTTCAACTACAGGCTGAGCAAGTGCAGAATGGTGGTAGAATGTGCATTTGGACGTTTAAAAATGCGCTGGCGCAGTTTACTGACTCGGTTAGACCTCAGCGAAACCAGTATTCCCACTGTTATTACTGCTTGCTGTGTGCTCCACAATATCTGTGAGAGTAAAGGGGAGACGTTTATGGCGGGGTGAGAGGTTGAGGCAAATCGCTTGGCTGCTGGTTACGCACAGCCAGACACCAGGGCAATTAGAGGAGCACAGGAGGGTGCTGTGCGCATCAGAGAAGCCTTGAAAACCAGTTTCATGACTGGCCAGGCTACGGTGTGAAAGTTCTGTTTGTTTCTCCTTGATGAAACCCCCCGCCCCTTGGTTCACTCTACTTCCCTGTAAGCTAACCACCCTCCCGTCCTCCCTTCAATCACCGCTCGCAGGGGCAATAAAGTCATTGTTGCTTTACATTCATGCGTTCTTTATTAATTCATCACACAAATAGGGGGATAACTACCAAGGTAGCCCAGTAGGAGTGGTGGAGGAGGGAAGGACAAGGCCACACAGCACTTTAAAAGTTTAAAACTTTAAAACTTATTGAATGCCAGCCTTCTGTTGCTTGGGCAATCTTCTGGGGTGGAGTGGCTGGGTGGCCGGAGGCCCCCACACCGCATTCTTGGGCGTCTGGGTGAGGAGGCTATGGAACTTGGGGAGGAGGGCAGTTGGTTACACAGGGCCTGTAGCGGTAGTCTGTGCTCCAGCTGCCTTTCCTGCAGCTCAACCATATGGTGGAGCATATTAGTTTGATCCTCCAGCAGCCTCAGCATTGAATCCTGCCTCCTCTCATCACGCTGCCGCCACCTTTTAGCTTCAGCCCTCCACCTCTCCTCCCGGTCATTTTGTGCTTTCCTGCACTCTGACATTATTTGCCTCCACGCATTCGTCTGTGCTCGGTCAGTGTGGGAGGACAGCATGAGCTCAGAGAACATTTCATCGCGAGTGCATTTTTTTTCGCCTTTTGATCTTCGCTAGCCTCTGGGAAGGAGACGATCCTGTGATCCTTGAAACACATGCAGCTGGTGGAGAAAAAAAAAAGGGACAGTGGTATTTAAAAAGACACATTTTATATAACAATGGGTACACTCTTTCAGGGTAAACCTTGCTGTTAACATTACATACACAGCACATGTGCTTTCGTTCCAAGGTCACATTTTGCCTCCCCCCACCACGTGGCTAGCCCCTCCTCCCACCCACCTCCCCGTGGCTAACAGCGGGGAACATTTCTGTTCAGCCACAGGCAAACAGCCCAGCAGAAATGCACCCTATTTCAACCAGGTGACTATGAATGATATCACTCTCCTGAGGATAACACAGAGAGATAAAGAACGGATGTTGTTTGAACGCCAGCAAACCTACACTGCAATGCTTTGTTCTACAATGATTCCCAAGTATGTGCTACTGGCCTGGAGTGGTAAAGTGTCCTACCACGGTGGATGGAATAAGGCTGCCCTCCCCAGAAACTCTTTGCAAAGGTTTTGAGAGTACATCCAGGAGAGCCGCGAATGCCAGGGCAAATTAATCATTAAACATGCTTGCTTTTAAACCATGTATAGTATTTTAAAAGGTACACTCACCAGAGGTCCCTTCTCCACCTGGCGGGTCCAGGAGGCAGCCTTGGGTGGGTTCGGGGGGTACTGGCTCCAGGTGCAGGGTAAGAAACAGTTCCTGGCTGTCGGGAAAACCGGTTTCTCCGCTTGCTTGCTGTGAGCTATCTACAACCTCATCATCATCATCTTCCACATCCCCAAAACCTGCTTCCGTGTTGCCTCCATCTCCATTGAAGGAGTCAGACAATATGGCTGGGGTAGTGGTGGCTGACCCCCCTAAAATGGCATGCAGCTCATCATAGAAGCGGCATGTTTTGGGCTCTGATCCGGAGCGGCCGTTCGCCTCTCTGGTTTTCTGGTAAGCTTGCCTCAGCTACTTAAGTTTCACACGGCACTGCTTCGGGTCCCTATTATGGCCTCTGTCCTTCATGCCCTGGGAGATGTTTTGGCATGTTGAAAACTGGAACGGAGTTCTGACAGCACGGATTCCTCTCCCTATACAGCGATCAGATCCCGTACCTCCCGTTCGGTCCATGCTGGAGCTCTTTTGCGATTCTGGGACTCCATCATGGTCATCTCTGCTGATGAGCTCTGCATGGTCACCTGCAGCTTGCCATGCTGGCCAAATAGGAAATTGAAATTCAAAAGTTCGCGGGCCTTCTTCTGTCTACCTGGCCAGTGCATCTGAGTTGAGTGCTGTCCAGAGCGGTCACAATGGAGCACTCTGGGATAGCTCACAGAGGCCAATACTGTCTAATTGCATCCACAGTACCCCAAATTCGAACCAGCAAGGCCGATTTCAGCGCTAATCCCCTTGTCGCGGGTGGAGTAAGGAAATCGATTTTAAGAGCTCTTTAAGTCGAAAAAAAGGGCTTCGTCGTGTGGACGGGTGCAGGGTTAAATCGATATAACGCTGCTAAATTCAACCTCAACTCCTAGTGTAGACAAGGGCTAAATGTTTTACTAAACAGCATACATAACTAGGTTTATTTTAATCCAGGCAAGCTGCATTCTTCCTCCATTCAAGCCTTTGGGGAGAGGAGACATTCTTGAGGTTGCAGGACACTCCTTTGGTGCAAGCTGTCAGCACTATCAAAAGATTTTAAAAAATTGCAACGGGGACAAGAAGCTGGAAGAGAATCAAACCATCACTGTGGCTAATTCATAGCTCAGAATGTGTTCTAGTCCTCAAGACTGCTGCTTACCTCCCTACCCTGGCCAAGCTACCTGACCAACGGTGACCAGAATAAAGAAAGCGACACTGTGGAAATAAAAAGTATAATAACAATATTGTTACCTGTGTAATTAACCACATTTTAATGATTAAAATGGAGTTTTTAAAATCTAATGTATTGGTCCCCACTGATTCAGTTCCTTTATTTTGGGCACTTTGCTTACCCTTCAGAGTGTGAAATTAGACTGGTTGATTTCACTTTCTGGTTGTAGTCACTTTTACTTCCTATTTCTCCTGCACTGCTCAGTGCTGTTGTTTGGGCTCCTAACACTGTCCGGGAAGTTTCAAATACAAACATTTTCCACTGGAAAAAATATACATGTTTGTGTACATTTGGAAAATATTTTTATTCATAATGTTTTGTTGCTCCCCACCTCTTTTTTCACTTAATTACAAAACCTTGTGGCCAAAAATACTTGACAGTGTCCTTTTAAAAGGAAACTGAGAGGAGCCATCTTGGAACCTTGGGACTAACATCCGAGAGTGATTCTTCTTATCGAGGGCCTTGCAAAGATGAGGTGATAAGAGTTCAGGCATGGTTATATTAATGCTGGAATGAGAGAAAGAGAGGTTAGCAATAAACAGAATCTGCTCTCAGAAACTATATTTCAATAATGCCAGCTCTCCCGATTTGGGGAGACATTTCTTTCAGAAGGCCCCTGTCACTTGACTACTTCCCTCTCCTGATCTAGGATTTGGGGACCCCCAGCTCTGAAATGCTTAAAGATCATAGAAAACAATAGCTCTGCTTTTAGTCTTTGTCAGTTAATTCCGTGAATTTTGTACCACTGCATTGGGACAACACAGTGAAAAGTGCCAGTCCCAGCACCACAGAGGGCCGGGTTGCAGAGGTGCTCCCCTTCCTCACCCCCACCCCTCCCCAATACTTTTGGTTGGAGTTGTAAGCATTCAAGACCTTTGAAAATCAGGCCTATATTTCTCTTGCATAGCTGATAACTTCAAGAAGCAATAGCATTTGTGAAGATGTCAGTCCAAGCTAAGCAGCCCTACATCTTCTGCAGTTGAGAAGTGGCGTACATGTGGCATTTATGGTAAGTGACTTGATGACCTTTTTAATTTTCAAGATTTTAGCCTGCTAAAAAAGAACAGCATCACTGATACTAGAGATGGAAATACCTCATAGGCAATCCAGCTTAGGGCAGCATTGTTCCCTACAGTATACTTTCCAGGGCTTTGTCTGATTTAAAAGACCCAAGCTATATGACTTCCATCATTTCCCATAGGACACGATTCCATCTGTCTCATTGTCAGGTAGGTTTTTTTGGTATTTAGCCTAAGTTTTTTCCTTTTCTTAATTTCATCCCATCACATCTAGTTATTCCCCTTAATAACCCCTTAAACAATTCTTCTTCTCCCTCACCTTTAGTGTTTGTACCCTTCAGATCAGTTCAATCATCTCATTAGATGGATTGGTTTCTTGGAGGATTTGGTCACTGAATGGAAACACCATTAAGGGGTTGTACACACTACCATGTATGTTCATATAATTTATGTCACTCGAAGTGTGAATAAACCACCCTCCTGAGCAACATAAGTTACACTGACAGAAGCGCCAGTGTGGACAGTGCTGTGTCAATGGGAGAGCTGCTCCCACTGACATAGCTACTGCCTCTTGTGGAGGTGGTTTTATTATGCCCATGGGAGAGCTCTCTCCCTTCAGCATAGAGCATCTTCACCAGATGTGCTACAGTTTGTTTTTCATTATATATTTGATCATCATGCATAGTTTGTTTATGCTTCTGGCCTGTCTAACATGGAAGAGCAAACAGGGCCCTAATAAAAGGGGAATCGACACTGAAGTGCAGAACTGTTTCTACAGTTTCATGTTGCCTCAATGAATCGGGATCCTTCTTACAACTATTATTTGTATAGTACCATTGATGTGTATGGTACTTAGTGGGCCAAATTCAGTTCTGGCATAGCTGCTCCCATGTGCTCCTTTAACAGTGTTGAATTTGGTCAAAAATCTTTGCCCTGTGGCATTAACAATCTAAGTCATGAACCTTAGCAGTCATTGGGAACTGCACCACGAGTTCCTTAGGAATAGGGCTGGGCCGTGAGGGCTTAATCCTGCAACCCATAGCTTGTCACCTGCTTGGGGCAGGGGAATGTGACTTTTATCTGTCTAGAAAGCACCATTCTCACCTATGTTGCTGTAAAAATACTACTAGTATAAACAGTGACAGACTGCCAGGAGAATTGAAAGTCCTCAACACCTCTGAAAATCAGGCCAATTAGTTAGGAGCCTAAACATGGACTGAGATGCCTGACTTTAGATAGCTCTACGTTTGAAAATGTTGGCCTAAGTCAGTGGCCTGAGGTCACACAAGTGGGAATAGAATTCCAGAGTCTTGACTCCAAGCCTGGGGGGTGGTCTCAGTGATTACAATAGATCTGTCCATCTCTTCCTGCTAGGATTCCACTCAATAGTACTCCCTTCTTCACTCTGTATTTAGTCAGGTCTCCAGGCTGTCAGGGACCCTTCATATGGGACATTAAATTCCTTGAGCTATCTGCTTGAAATTTAGATTAGCAGCTTAGTAGATTTTTAAGTTTCAGTGGGGGTTGACGCATCATGTCCCTCGCTGCCATGACCTGATGTAGAACTTCAAAGACAGCTGTTCCTTTTGAGCGCACCTCATCCCTTCAGTGCCCCCCCATGCAGCAGCTTCTCTGCTTGCACCTCCTGGTGGCAGCCTCTCCCCTTCAGCAGCTTCTTCCCTATGCCATTTTACCGTCCCTCCCTTCTTCTTGCCAACTGTGCTCATGTCTGCCACGTGTGGCTAGAGCTGGCCCTGTGTTTGAAGCACTTAGTAATTATTTGTAATTAATTCATTATATGATTCAGGGAACCAGTGATCTAGGTTTGCTGTGATGCTGTCCAGATGTTCAGGCTGTGCAGGTCTCATTTGATTACTAATTACAAACTCCCACTCTGTCCTTTTTCAAATCCATTGGTGTATACTGAACCCCTTTGCTGCGGTAGAATGCACAACACAATCATGTTCTTGGGCAATGCTGAGATTTTGCCAACACCTTATGGTGATACAACTCCATGGATGGCAGCACCTGAGACATTGTACACCAACTGCCTGGTGCTGTGTGGCAGCACACAAGTGGTACTCGTAGAAATTCATTGTGGTTCTTAATCTAAACTAAACTGCACACTCGTGCCATGATAACAGCTTTGTTTTTGTAGAGCCTACAGAAAGTTACATACCTGTTGTTTTATTACTCATGGCTGTGCTGATTCACGTGGCAAAAATGAAAAACTCTGGTGGCAGCTGAAGCCTGAGGACTGCATTAGTCAATGAGCTTTAATAGACAGTTAAACATTATGGGAGAAATTCTGCCCTCAGAGGCAAGAATGATCCGCCTATGAAAGCCAGCTGGGGCTGCACATGCACAGTTTAAAGCAATGTTTGGCCAATTGACAACACACCTGTAACTTGTCCTTATCTGGTTGAAGACAGTGCTGTTTTGAACATCAAATGATGGCCAAATAGTGTTGATTTCAGGTATAAATAGTGCAGGCAGGTGCTGTACATGTTTCTCCTCCCTGGGTCTCCTAATGCACATCAATCCTGACCTGGAATGCCCTCTGCTATTCCAGTCCTGTTCTCCCTCGCAGCTCTGCCAGTGCACCGCCTTCCTCCTGCACTACAGCACCTCCTAATCCCATCGTGTCACCCTCTTCTAGCTTTATCAGGGTGGCTCAGTCCTCTGTTGGCCCAGTTTGGTGTGATTTACAGTCTGAATCAAAGTGTGATTCATGGGACAATGAATCCACCAGCACAGAGAGCTGGGAGGAAGGAGGACTGGCCAATCCTGTTGTACAGTTGGGGGAGGGGGGGTCTTATCTGCATTGCAAAACAAACAAACAAAAAGCCCCAAACAACCAATTGTGCTGATTTGGTTACAGAAAGGCACCCCTGTGCCAGACCAGACAGGGGTGCGGAGACACATTGTTAGCTGTTACAACCACTGAGATTTAACCCCCTGGTGTCCAGATACAACCCACATTTAAAAGCTGACCATGCCAGTAAGTGGCTACAAACTTAATTAAAGATTTGTGTGGACAGGGACTTATTTACTCTCTGGTACCCCCTTGCCACAGCTGGCAGAAACTTTCTGCAGCTTTCTGAGGAGACAATGTGAAGCAACGGCACTAATGTTTGACACCATCTAGTGGTGAAACAGGAAGTATACTAGTACAATCAACAGGTTAATTTGCCCAGTTCCTAAAGCCCCAAATTTAGCTACTGGAGGATAGGTCCACCAATGGCTATTAACCAAGATGTCAGGGATGCAACACCATGCTCACGGTGTACCTAAACCTTTGCCTGCCAGAAACTGGGACTGTATGCCAGGGGATGGATCACTCGATAATTGCCCTGTTCTGTTCTTTCTGTTTGAAGCATCTGGTACTGGCCACTGTTGGAAGACAGGCTTTTGGGTTAGGTGGGCCATTGGGCTGACCCAGAATGTCCATTCTTATGTTCAGATGTGAATAGACTGCACTGATGTTTGATGCCATCTTGTGGAGAAACAGGAAGTATACTAGTACAATAAACAGTCTAATTTGCTCTGTTCCTAAGATCCCAAATTTAGCTACTGAAATGCTCCATTGCAGTGGAGTGAACCAGGCACATCCACTCTTGTGAGTCCTAAGCTACATGAAATGTTCAGATGTAGTGGTGTTATCCAAGAATACATTCCCTCATGGCTCCCACCCTGAGCTACCTGAGTGCCCATCCTAGAGAGCAGTGATAGGGTCTAGGAGGCCTAGAGTCGTGGAGGTAAGACAGTGAATTCTTTGCTAGCTTGAGGCACACAGGCTTTTCAGACTGTGTACATAAAAAGCTATTGGAATCACCCATATCCATTAACTGAAATGAAAACACGTCAACAAAATAGCATCAGTATTGAAAAGCAAAGCAGAATTTACAAACTCTATTTAGTTGTAATAGGGCGATACCTGTAACAAAGGTAAGGGCTGTTTTAAAATATTTTTAACATGCTAATGCCCCTTTAATATGTTAGTATCTTCTTGAACACCATCAGTGCAATTAGCATGGTACAGAGCAGAGGAG